GGAAGCTGTCTGAAAAGCACACACAGGGAATCAAGTGGGAGAAGCACGCACTGCAGGAATTCAGGCCAGAGGTGAGGGCTAACTCTGGCGGCATTTGGAGTCCAAGTGCCTGTGGAGATTACTGTAGAGAGGCTGCAACAGAAAAACTCCAGACTCACTCAGAGGGCTTGGGGAAGAAAAGGAAAAACAAGGAAAACCAAGCTGACGGTGAGGTGACCCTGGTGGATGCAGTTTCCGCGTGCAGCTCTGGCCAAAGCCTGCAAGCAACTGGCAAGGAGCTATTTCATAAATTTGTGCCCCAAAAGTTGGGCGCTAGTTGAAGCATAAATCTAATTAATCTTATCAATAAAAACCAGAAGTTGGAATTGGGGGTAAAAACCTGAAAGATTGGAGAAGCAGAGAGAGAGAGAGAGCCATAGTCCCTTCCTACCTCTTTCATCCTCCATCTAAAAAGGCTAAGATCCTGTCTCCTTTCTGTACAGACCTCCAGACCTCTATGGTTAACTAGTGGCCAGCTCTATCCTCTGACTCCAAGCAAGCTTTATTTGTCAGAACACAAACAAAACTCACACAACTTTGGTGGGAGGAGCAGGAGCCAGCTGTTCACGCTGCATCCGCACTCAGGTAGCAGAGGGAGATGAAAGCCAGGGCTTCACTTTTCCACACTGTTGAACTACCCAGACTGTATCGTGTAACCAATACAAGCTCCTTTTAATGTCTGCCAAGTCTATCAGTTCTTTCCCCCCAGAGAAACCTGACTAATACTGTGCTTGGAAACTGCTTTTGTGAAAAAAAATCAGCTTCTCATTTGGATCTGCAAGATAATGAAAAAGTATAACGAAATTTTGGCATTTTATCTCTGTCCTGTTCTTGTCTTAATTCTAGGAATAGTTGGGTCTAGCAGGTCCTTCTCCCTAGATGAGGAAAATTCCTCATGGGGGTGGTCTGACCTGGTTCAGCTCAAAGTCCGGGTGTAACTAGGCATTTCCCCTTTGTCCCTGGAAAGACTGGGACTGCAGCCAGGACCAGTGTGCTTCTGTTGTCTCTGCAGGTGGAGGTGGGGACACTCTCTCACTGTAGAGTGACAGAGGAGAGAGAAGTCATGCCAGGGGAGGGGCAGCATGGTTCCTGAAGGTCAGCGAGTCCTTGAAGGAGTAGGGGAGGCCTGCAGTTATGTAGTCTCCACCTGTGACTTTTGAACCTCTTCAGTGGATAATAGTGGGCATGGTGGAAGTGCATGCTGGGTAGTCTGCCCTTCCTCTCTTACTAGATAGGAAGATGGCAGTAGAAAAGACAGCATGATCTCTCTGTCTGTCTCTCTGTCTCTCTCTCTGTCTCTCTCTCTCTGTGTAAATATCAGCCCAGGTCATACCTATGCCTGCTGCCATGTTACAGACCTTGCGACCTGGATGCTTATGGCTCCTTCTATGTACTTATTCTGTGTGGGAGCATAGGCCATGGGAGCAGCAGGAGGTGGGTGGGGAGTTGCTGACTCGGCCTGGATGCCTGCCTGTGTCCCTTCTCATTCCTAAGGGCTAGGGAAGGGGGTGCATCCAGATGAGTTTGGGGAGATTGATTTCAATGAGTGAGTAGAAGAGGACTCATTCACTCTCCTACCTTGTCTGAATCAGCAAACCCTGAGAGGAGCAAGGCAGAGAGCTGATGTCCCCTGTCCTTATCTGCACATACCCTTCTCCACTTACCCAGAGAGTTTCTTTTGGGTTCTGCTTCCAGGAATCCTAGTCCCTAGAATGGAGTATACTTAACAGAAATAAAAGAAATAGAAACAATTTTTGGTGGTATTGTTTGTTTTCCTGAGATTTGGGCAAAGATTTGGGTAGTAGACTGAGTCATTTCAAATTTTCCTGATTTGGTAATCATCCTCACAGAGATGAAGATATTGTCCGCCTCACTTTGGCTACTAGACTAGTTGTGTTGGCTGGAGTCATCAGAGCAGAGGGAACCTCAACTGAGAAAATGTCCCCATAAAATTGGGGTATAGGTCATTTTCTTAGTAATTGACAGGAAAGGACCTGCCTGTCATGGGTGGTGCCGTCCCTCGGCTGGTAGTCCTGGGTTCTATAAGAAAGCAGGATAAGCAAGCCATAGGGAGTAAGCCAGTAAGCAGCACCCCTCCGTGGCCTCTGCATCAGCTCCAGCCTCCAGGTTCCTTTCCTGTTTGAGTTCCTGTCCCGACTTCCTTCTATGATGAACACTGATCTGGAAGCATAGCCAAGCCCTTTCCACAACTTACTTTTGGTCATGGTGTTTTATCACAGCAATAGTAACACTATTTAAAATAGTGATTTCCAAGAAATTGAAATTTCCCCACAATCTAGTGATGGGAAAAGGAAAAAGCCGAAGCCTGGGTCAGTCAGAGATTCTCAACAATGTGCCAGAGAGACGGGAACAGAGCTATGTCATGAACAGGGTTACTTAGTAATGTATACTTCTTGCCCTCTATTTGAATCTAAACTTTATGTCAGGACCACGAAGATGGACTCGAGGAGTCCACTTCCCAATGTGGCCACATTGGATAAATCTTCTTTTACTTTTCATGACTGTTTCCTCTATCAGCCTTTTGAGCCTAGTTTGTTTTGAGGGCTGGGACATAGGCTTGGACCCTAACAATTCTAGTTACCCTCTTTATCCAGAATGATAGCCGTTTCTAGACAACCATTACTCTAAGTTCTTAAACACACACACGGAAGGTCAGGGCTCCTCTTGTCTGGGGGCTGCTCTGTTCTCACTACATGTCCTTCTTCCCCCTTCACTTGGGGGCCTCATGATGCTTCTGATGACCATGAGAGTCAGGTGCAGCTACAGGTCCTTACCTGGAGAATCAAGATGATTTCTGACGGTGGCGAGGGCCAGAGGAGGGAGGAAGGGATGATAAGAGGGATATGGCCACCTCAGAAATAGGGATAGATGATCCAAGCAGGAGACTATAGCCTCTGACTTCTAACACTGTTTCCCTCACGTCTAAAGGATATGAAGCCTGGCACAGTTATGCACGCCCTTTATCCTGGTACTCATAAAGTAGAGGCCGGTGGATCTCTGTGAGCTGGAGGCCACCCTGGTCTACAAAGTGAGTCCCAGGACAGTAAGGGCTACATATGGAGACCCTGTCTCTGAAAACCAAAATAAATAATGCTAATAATAATAGTAATATTAAATAAATGGATGTGGAACGTGCTTGTGTTGCCAGTTCTGGGGTAAAGAATAACATTTCTCAAAACTTATTTTCAGAAATGAACAATGTAAGCAGCTATGTGGAAAGACCTGGCCCAGGCTTTGGGAAGCCCAGCAACAGAGGCTCCTCTTTTCTTGCTTTGTCAGCTTCTGTTTGTTTCTAACTGTTACCAAGGTCAACAGCCCTTCCACTCAAGTGTAGCATAGGAGCTGGCTTGAGAGTTTCTGTCCCTGTGTCAACATTGTAACTAAAGTGCCCAGCTCTGTGCCTGGTCCATCCTTGGTCCTCAGGAAGAGTGGCATCACCTTCCATATGGACGCTGACTTTTGTCCACAGCAAGGTTTGTGTTTCTCCAAATCCCTGTCTCTGCAGCATGACAGGGTAAGGGCCGAGAGGCTTCTGTCTGTAAAGGTCTAATAGCTTATGATAATGTGTGGTCTAGGGTACTTGAGCAGGCTGCATTCTGCTTACATTCCAAGTCCTGTGGCCTGGACCTCACTGGTAACCTCGAGGTGGCCCAGACTAACCTTGAAGTTGTAGGAATTCTCTTGCCTAGACCTCCCTAGTCCTGAGATTACAGGCCTGCCCATCCCCAGCTACCCGAAGACAGTTTGGAACAATGCTGCTACGGTAGTTTGTTGGGGCAAATGGCATAAGAGATAAAAGTCCAGCCCAGGGCTTGGCACCGAGTACACACAACGTTCCAAGGGGGCAGCGGTGGGTGCAGCTTCCACTGCCCCTCCTGTCATCAAGATACTCCCTATTCTTGTCCTTTAAGATGCCTCGCTAACGACACCTCCTTCGCAACCAGCTCACTGACCAGCCAGGTGAGGACTAGAGGGCCACTTGCTCTGCTTGGACCCATAGCCAGCCACACAGGCCGGTGGTTCCCCAGCCACACTGCTCCTCTGGGGACCAAGAATGCTGAGCATCCATGACCGGCGCCAGTCTTTGTATCACTGAATAGTCAGGTTTTTTTTGTGTGTGTGTTCAGTAAGCACATTCCCCATTTTGAAATCGTGTGTGTGTGTGTGTGTGTGTGTGTGTGTGTGTGTGTGTGTGGTGTTGTCTGGGGACATCTTGGCTCTCCCCATAACAAAGATCACCCCAGCACTGGGACTTAACAACAATTCCATGCATATCTGGCTTTTAGGAACTTTCCAAGTCTGTTGTAAGGCCCCACAATGTCCCTGGGGAGATCTTTGCCTGTGAATTGTCCTGGAGCAGAGGCACCAGCATGACAGTAGCCCCACTTATTCCACTGAACCAATTTCTCCCTCTGAAGAAGCCACTCTAGGCAGGAGCCCTTTGCTCTCCTGCAGATCAGCTCTCACAGGCAGACTTGCTGAGGAGAGGGAGGGGCTGCTCTTGCTTGTCTAGCTGTTTTATCCTCCAAGTACAAAGCCCAAGTCCACAGCACAGCTCACAGACTCACGGGGTTTCACCCTGCAGCCTGCCTCTGCTGAGGAGTTGTCAGAGCAATTTAAAGGGCACAGCTAGCTGCGCATGATGGATCATGCCTGTGATTCCAATTCTTGGGAGCCTGAAACAAGATTCTCAGGCCAGCCTCGGCTACGTAGTGAGTTCTGTATGCTGCCAGCAGCAGAACAGGCACAGCCTAACCTCCTTTCCTTAAAGAAATGGTGACAGTTGGAGATGTCTTTGTTAGTCTTGTGTACATTTGCCTTTTTGGGGAGCCAGGTAAGACATTAGGGGAAATAACATTCTTCCTGAGTTTCCCCAATGAGGCCCAAGCTCTCTGCTAGCTCTCAGGTTCTCTTTGAACAATTGCTAATCTTGTATTTACCCTATGGACTTTTCTTCATCTTCACCTCTTCCTGCTCTGTGAAGATAAATCTGTTTTGGAAGAAAACATGATCATGATGTTAACAGTGACTGAGGTCTCCAATCTATATCTACTCCCTTTCCTTAGCTGACATCTACCCACTGCTCTTCTCTTCTGTAGCACCTCATTTAGGGGGTCCCATGTAGCTGGCACTTAATATGGTGTATTGACTCTTTTACCTAAAATTAAACAAGTCCTAATAAAAACTCTTAGAAGTCAAAGAATATCTTTAACTTCATCAACGTATATATGAGAAGAGCAAGAGCAGAATGTCTCTGACCACAGCCACGAGCCTTTGTCTCTGGTGAGCTTCTGAAATGTAATATGGAAAATAAACATGGTATTGAGGAGGAGGGAACTATTATTGCTATTATCCGAAACAATCAACAACCAAAAAGTCCAAGACAATCGACTAATATTTCATTAGAATAAGAGGATTCAATACTGTTGGCTAGTCACAAAATACAGACAAAATACAGAGAGCAGGATACAGAGCCCAATAGATTTTGCATGTATCTCCCATACAAACTAAGCAAGTTCTCATTTATGATAGCAATGGTGATGGGCAGTGTTTCAGAACAAATGTAACTTAGGATGAGTAAATTCTCTGATGAAAATGCTAATTATTTTAAAGAACACTAAGAAATGACAAGCCACAGAGAGAGTTTCTGTCTAAAAACAAAAGGCAATCTAAAACAGCAAAAGCTTGTGGATCTGTCTCAGTGTAGAGTGCAAGGCCTGGTTTAATCTCAAAGAGGAGGAGAGGGAGAAGGAGGTGGCAGCAGCAGAGGCAGCAGTGAAGGTAAGGCATGTTGTAAAGGTATCAACCGTCAAAGTAGAACTGTAAATGCCATGTCGTCCTATGCAATCTGATCTTTTCCCCCCTTCCATGTATGTGCCCACATGTGTGGTGAATGTGTGGGCACATGTGCATGTGTGAATGATTACAGAGGCTTGAGGTTGATGTTGGATATCTAGATTGCTCTTCCATCTCATTCCCTGACTCAGATTTCATCAAATCCAGAGCTCATTGATATGACTAGCCTCATTATGCAGCTCGTTCTTGGGCAATCCTACGTCTGCCTTTGGGATGGGAATTACAGGTGGCTGGCATGTCACCATGTCTGACTGCAATTCCCCAGGTCCTGAGAATTTTAAATCTAAAGTCTAATCTTCATGTTTGTGTGGAAAGTGCTTCAACCACTGAGCCATGTCCCCAGTACAAACATTTATTTTCTTTTTTTCTTCCTTTTTTTCTCTCTTGCTCTTTCCTCCCTCCCTCCCTTCCTCCCTCCTTCCCCCTCTCTCTCTCTCTTTCCCTTTCTTTTTAATCAAATAAGATCAGCTGACATTTGGTAGGGAAATGTTAAGAACGATTACACAATGGATGGAAAACAGAACAGAGAACAGGAGCTTGCCCTGTCAAATCAACAGGAGTTATCCAGCAATGTGGGGCTCAGTTAATGTAACCAGCGGGAGTTATCCAGCAGTGTGGGGCTCAGTTAATGTACAAAGCAACTCTGATTAATGCTGTGATTCTTGACTGGTGCAAGAACAATGTCAGGATCAGGTAAGCATCCAGGTGGAGATGCATCTTAGACCAGTGAAGAAAGAGTCAATTAGTCAATATAAATTATTTCACATCTAGATATTCTTGTGAGGGAGGTTGGTCCCTGACTCAACCATACCCGCCAAAAATAAAATAAATTCTAGGCAGATTAAAAGAATCTATAAATAAGAGGCGGGAGAGATGGCTCCGCAGTTAAGAGCACTGGCTGCTCTTCTGGAAGATTGTGCAATATTCCTATGCACTGTGTAAATATATGTCACTGTATACACAGAAGGAGGCACAGGCCGGTAGATGAGTGGCCTTAGCTACAGACACTTTCCTTTTCCACTGGGTTGTTTTACCACGAAATATATTAACGCTTTGGGCGGTTTGCAATGGTTTCCTGGTACTCTCACACTCCCAGTACTTCCTGTTTGTCTCTGAGGGGGCGAAACTGACCAGTGAAGGGTCCGGGTGCAGGCTTAGGGATCAGGGGAATGAATGGGAGATTTACTCTTGGTTTGCCCACTGGGCCTAGGTGCTCTTCACCCTAGGAGAGGCTGATAAGCTCTTCCCAAGGAGTCTGAGATTAGATCAGACAAAGAATGGAGAACTCTGTGCTGTGCTCAGCAGGCACAAACCTTCTATCCCGAAGGATGTGGAAGACAGCGTCCAGACCCAGCAAAGGCCTCTGCCTATGGAGTGGAAACAGACAGCTCTTCCCCCCCACACACACATTCATTCTTAAAACCACTGCTATTTTCTCTCACTCATTTCTTCCTCATATTTAGTAAAATATGTTTCTTTAAGGTGAAAAGTATCTTTTAGTAGCTGCCCACGAATCCCCCAAATGACCAATTGTTAGAGTGATATTTCAGAAGTCTTAGTGTCTGGGCAGGTAGCACAGTGGTAGAGAACATACTTAGCTTGCACAACACCTAAACTTAATCCCCCAAACCCTGCCTATACATGCAAATGGTTAAGAATAACTGGTCTGTCCATTGCTTTTCTCTATATGATGCTTACTTTTAAAAAAAATTTAGTTAGACTTTTTAGACAGTGTTTAATGTAGCACAGGTTGGCTTCAACTCTCCATGTAGTTGAGGGTGGCTAGAACTCCCAATTTTCTTGCCTCTGCCTCTAGGGTGCTGGAATTATGGGAGTGTACCACCAAGCCTGGTTCTGTATGCTACTTTAAATATGCATTAGATTTTTATTTTTCTTTGTTTGGTAGTTAACTTAATGTCAGTTTTCTACTCAACACTGTCTGGGTAGGGTCTCACCCCAACCTCTGGCATCCATTTTGGGATGTTGGATAGAAAGTTCTATTTCAAGCCCCCTCTCCTGGGAGTTGCTGCAGTCCAGAGTCCATCTCTGAGAATGCCCGCCAAATGGTGACCCCTCCACAGAGAGGGTCAAGACCACTCCTATAGGCTATTTAAACTGCCCCTCAGAGAACAAACACATGGTCTCCCCAGTTTTCCTTCCTCCTCTCCATGTTCTGCCAGAGGACCACCCAGGAGTGCTGGTATCCATTAAACCTGGGCTTTTTCTAATTAGGTTTGATCTGGTCTGATTTGGCTTATTCCATCCGTCCGCAGAGAGGTTTGTTGGGCCAAAAAAGCTTTACTAACACCTTGACTATCTACTACAGGAAAATATGGTGTGCTTCCAGTCCTCACAGATACCATCCAAATGGGCAGAAGAGAATGAAAATGTGCGTGAAGGGCTGGAGAGATGCTTCGTGGTTAAGAGCACGGCCGCTCTAGCACACACTGCTCTTCCAGAGGACCTGGGACTGGAATTCCAGCACCCACATGGTGGCTCACAATCACCTGTAACTTGGTCCAGGGGATCCCACTACCTCTTCTTGCCTCTGAGGGCATCAGGCACAGAGTGGTTTTTCCAGGGCATGCTCCTCTGAGATGAAACATTTCTTCTAGGAGGGAAAGGGAAGGCTCACTAGACTCAAGCAGTAAATGGGAGGTAAACGAAAGGTCACAAGTCTGGAAAAACAAAATCATGCAAGATTCTTGAGGGCCCCTGCCCAACAGAATCAAGGGGATGAAGTTGCTGGGACTGGAGACTCTGAGCAGTAACTGCAGATGGAGACAACTGACTGTGGCAGGGGCTGGTGCTCTGCAGGCAGAGAGAGCCCAGAATTTGGGGATTTGGGGAGCTGCTGCTCATGTTGGGAGAGGATTTCTGGTGATGCGGCTCTTTTAGAGTCACACTTGCTCCTAGTAAATTAGTAACCCTAATAAAGAGACTCACTGCTTCACCAAAATGGTGCAATGTTTACTGTGGTCTGTCATGGACTTTCTCGGTAAGTAATGTGTGTGCGTGTGTGTGGTCTCCCCAGAAAAATATCTATCACACAACAGTGGCACACAGACATGCATGCAGGCAAAGCAACTATACACATAATTTTTTTTAAGTACAAATAAATTCCAGCACAGTGGTGAACAGTACACACCACTAAAGAGCAATATAGGACTTTACAGAGATTTCCCTGGAGGTCACAACCACATTAGGTGTGGAGGTGCTGCCTGTACAGGGGCCAGAGGACATCCTCCCGGAGGTCATGAACTGACCCCATGCTGATTTCTGCCTTCTAGCCTCAAAATTCCACCATCCTCACGGACAGAGAACTCTCCACTGCTCCCACAGCCTCTCACCGCAACACCACCAGTCTGACACCAAATCAGAACGTTACATAATGACCTGACATTGAGGAGCCCGACTTCACAGAGTACCTGTGGACACTCGGGGGCATTATTTGTAGACAGAGAGGGTCAGTGGCTCAGGTTTTCAGTTCGCGGCCTCTAAACCTATGACACAGACCGGGCACATGCTGGACACAGGAATGTATTGTTGTCCTTACCTCAACGAGACAGAAAACGATAATCAACACTGTCACTACTACAGTTACAGATATTGCCAAGATGACTTTGTTGTTGTAGCCGTATCCTGGAACTTCTTTTGTGTGCTAAAAAGTACAAGATAAATGAATAAATAGGCATTTCTGTTGCCAAATAATAAAGTAAAAAGAATTAAAAAAAGTAAAGGCTTATTGCTCAAAATTCGTTCTTGAGCTGCGCTTGGTAACTCATGTATATAATCTGGGAATTGGAAGGTTAAGATAGGAGGACTGCCATGAGCTTGCTATCAACTTCGGCCACAAAGTGAGCAGGCTATTTTGGGCTATACTGTGATATTCTGACTCAAAGAACCAAGGTCTCAGGATGTACTTCTGTGGTTGAACCCTTTGTTTAGCTTGTACTAGGTGCTGGGTTTGATCTACACGGAACAGCAAAACAATATTTCTTTTTTTTAAAAAAAAAAAAAACCCTAAAGACATTCTTCCAGGTGAGTAGCTTTCTTATTTATAAAAGATCATACTGAATGCAATATGTTACATGCTTTTTTATAGTACATTTTATTATATTCTGTGTTTTAAGTCTGCTTCCGTGTCTTAAATTTAGAAACACAGTAGAAGTTAGGTGTGGTAGCAAACACATTTAAACGCAGCACTGGGAGGCAGAGGTAGGTGGATCTCTGTGAGTTCCGGGCCAATTTGGTTTGCATGAGAATTCTGGGAATCCAGGGCTACACAGTGAGACCCTGTCTCAAAAACAAAACAATACAATACAATACAATACATATAAAAATACAGTGGGAATCACTGTCTTGGCTGGGCTAGAGTTATGCGGACAATACAAGATCTGAAGTAGGAGGCCCTGGTCTTTCTGCTTAAGTGACTGAAAGGGTACGCAGGACCCCTGTTCCAGCACCGTCCTCACCTGACTTTGTTCCAGATCCTTCTGTTCGCCTTGGGTTTCTGTGCTCTCATTGATGTTCTCAGTTTTCCACTGGTCGGTATCCCAGTCGGCCCTGGACAACTTGAATTCTTGTTGCTCACTGAGAAGCTTCATCAGGAGGCCAGTTCTGGAGATGAGCTTGGCACAGAACAGTTGTACACGGGGGTCAGAGCAATCCATCTTCAAAGTCCTGATAACATGAGAAATAAGCTTTCTCACGTTGTTGTTGGGGATGAGGGGCCGCAGCTGCTGGTTTAGCTGAGATTCAAAGCGTTCACCTGGTGACATCAGTAATGGGTAAGCAAAATCTTTGAAGTGGTCATGGGAGTCAGACCCCAAGGTGAAGTCTAACTGTAGCTTGCTTGTTTGCTGAGCAGTTGGAATTAAATCAGATGTAGGCCCATTAGACTCTACAGTGGGATTCTCAGGGGGAATATTTTCTAATGCAGCTTCTTTAGGCCCAGTGAGGGCTGGTTTGAGGATGTTTTCTTCAGTATCATCTATTGCTGCCTGATTTTCTTCAAGAAGTTTTTCTGTAGGAGGTTCTAAGGCAGCATCTAATTGTGAAAAAGGCTTTTCTGCATAACTCAGGTCTCCTAAAGATGAAAAGACCCCTTCTGCAGGGGAATTTACCAGGCTCCTCACTGCAGAGGATGCTGGACTCTTTGCAATCAACCGGAAATGAGATATTTTCTTCCTAAGGTTTCTATGTCTATTTTCAGACAGAAAACTAGGGTTAGACCCCTTCGTTCTTTTCACATTGGCATTTGCACTTTCTAAAACAAAAATGGTGTAAGACAAGTCTTTTCGTCTGTCTATGAACTCAGGCAGTGATTTTGTAGTGGGAGTCTTGTCCACCAGTGACTGTTCTGTGGAAGAAGACACTGCCTCCCCATGCTCCTTTGGGAGCAAGGGCTCTGGGTGGGAGGAATTTTCTACTAAAGTCTTGGGCTTCTGAACCAGACCGAGCTGCTGCAACTCCGCTGTGGGTGGGCTCCCGAGCTGCCCGTCTTTGGCAATACTCTCCACAGGCGTCTGGACACTCTGCTTATTCCACAGGCTCTTGTCACTCACTCCCTTAAAGTGCCTTTTCTGTATGCTTCCTGTCCCCTTGAGTACTCTGTTCAGGCTGTGGAGTCGTTTCTCTGCCTTGTCAATTTCTGCAAGACTGTTTTCCTCTGCCTGGGCAGGGGCCCATCTCTTTCGTTGTTTAAATTTGGGACTCAAGTGGCCAGACTGCTGCATAAGCATGGCAGTTTTCTCTTTCTTCCTAACCTCACCAATCTCTGCATCTAACAAATTCTCTAGAAAATAAAGTTTATTCAGTTCATTTTTGTAAGCCATCTTACTTGCTTTTGGTACAGGGTTAAGAGCAAGCCTCCTTGAATCATTTTTGTAGGATTCCAGGGAACCATCTGCATTTTGTACATTAGAAAACAGCAGTTTTATGAATGGTAACAATGTCGACACCACATCTTCCAGATTTCCCTCTGAGAAATATGGCAGTATGTAATTCAGGGCACTAATCACGTCACTTTCATCGTTAAAGTCGAGCTGCTCATCCATGAAGCCTGAAGAGCTAAGATCATCTTTTTCTGAATAGGCTCTCTCTGGTTCAATAGTGACCTCAGTGCTGGTGTTCTCCTTCCGGGCCTGCAACACCTTCATGAATGGTCCTTCGGGGTTCCCTATAGATGCTTCAACTGTCAAAGATGGAGAGATTGCTTTGGGTCAGAAAATGCTGGCAGCCCTTTTTCAGTCCACGGTCATTCAACCCAACCAAGTAAATTAGGGGCCAGCAAATACCGGAGGAAGTGAAGAGAAAACTAAACTCAAATTTAAACCTATGAATTGGCAATGACAACCAGAGAGGACAGAACTAGCAAACTAGCTGCTTAGAACACACAAGCGTGCACACAGGGCACTGACGGAGAGTTGCGCACATTCCTGCCTCAGCAAAGGGGCGTGGTTGGAATCCAGGGTCTCACTAAATTGCCTATACGGCCTTGGAATGGCTCCTTTTGCCTCAGCCTCCTAAGTAGGTGGCATTAACACCATGTACCACCACACTCAGTTTAGAAAAACACTTAGAAAATCATTTGCTACCAGACATGGTGGCATACACCTGTGATCCTGGCAAAAAACATCCAGAGTCAGAGACAGGCAGATCTGTATGAGTTCAAGGCCAGCTTGGAGTATCCAGGCAATATCAGGCCAGTCAAGCCTATATAATAAAATCCTGCCTCAAGAAACAATCAAACAGTTAATTAAAATCACACAACTGATCTGTGGATAGAGAAAACTTGAGGCTGAGCACAAATACAGAGCTGGCCAATCTGGGCATGTTCCATTAGGAGAGGCTGGCAGCATTTACTGTTTCTAGAACGAGAAGTTCTTGGATTCCAAATAAAAGTGCATCATAGTGTTAATAAAAAAAAAACTGCAAAAGAAAACCAAAAAAAACCATCTACACCTGCCCTATAGGTCAGGGGTGCTTGAGACCATGTACATAAAGCCAGCTTTAGACTGCAGTGCAGTATATAAGAGACCACTGCAGCAAGGTGCCAAGCACAGTGTACATATAGTTCACATATTACCCCTCCCATTCCAGTCCCTCTCTGCTCTTTTCATGTATGGAACACTTTTTTTGTTTGTTTGTTTTTCGAGACAGGTTTTCTCTGTGGTTTTTTTGGAGCCTGTCCTGGAACTAGCTCTGTAGACCAGGCTGGTCTCGAACTCACAGAGATCCGCCTGCCTCTGCCTCCCAAGTGCTGGGATTAAAGGTGTGCACCACCACCGCCCGGCTGTATGGAACATTTTTTATATGTATATGCTTCTTTTGCTTTTTTGAGACAGGGTTTTACTGTGTGGAACCATTCTGTAGATCAGGTTGGCCTTGAACACACAGAGATCCACCTGCCTCTGCCTCCCAAGTGCTCGGATTAAAGGCATGCACCCTTGCAGCAGCCACCACCACCTGGCTAATAGGTATGTACTTTTAAAGGATTCATTTTACGTATATGACTGTTTTGCCTGCATTTGTGTGTGTGTACTTCATGTGTGCCTGACCTGACCTCTACAGGATCCCCTGGAACTGGAGTTATGGATGATTGTGAGCCACAGTGTGGATGTTGGGAACTGAACCTTGGTTTTCTGCAAGATCAGCAAGTACTTTAAACCACTAAACTATCTCTCTAGTTTTGTGTTTGTGTATGTATGCTCATACATACATACATACCTACATACATACATACATACATGTCTGTATGTGCATGATGTATATGTGTGATGGTTTGTGTGTGGAGATCAGAGGGGAGCCATGTGGAGTTTGTTCTTTTCTTCTACCTTTATGGGGGTTCCAGGGATTGATTAAGATCACCAGATGTGTGTGGCAAGCATCTTGACCCTCTGAGCTATCTCGTTTGCCCACTCAACAGTCATATTTTTAAGTAATGCATTAATATCTGAGAGTTCAATTTTCACAAGGGAGAAATTTAGAAGCTAGGGAGTTTTATTATGAATGAAGGAATAGAAATAAACAATTGTTAGTTTAAATTTTAGGAACATCACAGAAGGGGGCATGGTGGTAGAAAGCTTGTAAGAGCCAGAGGACCAGGAAGTCAGATGTGAGATTCTGTTGTCTAGGAGTGACAAGAAAGTTATGTTTATGATACCTCAAAATACAGTTGCCTACACACACGCAGAAAAAGCACAACACTGATATCCATGTTAAAGGTCACGAGGTCCCACTCCTCGACAAAGAGCTGCAGAAAACTGAGAGCCGCTGAGCGAGGCAGAGTCTATCCCTCCCAGGGATGAGCTTCCTAACTGGCTATCCAATAAAAGTGGTCAGCCATGAATCAGATACACACAAGCAACATAAAAAAACTCAGCAAGTTCTATTATAGATTTATGTGTTTATATATCTGTTTATAGCAATAATAATCAAGAAAAAGTCCATTTGAGAGGGAGGAGGTATGGGAGAGGTTGGAAGGAGGGAAAGGAAGGCACGAAGGGAAGTGATATAATTAATTTTAATTAAAATAAAAAGTAATTTAAAAAGAAATTATCTTTACCAGTTAAACATTATATGTCAAAATTAAAACATTCATCAGGCAAGAGACTCACGACAATGTGTGGAGTTTGTCAGACATCCAGTATGGCAATGCAGTTTGACTGTCTTGCAGACAACCTCAATATCAGTTTTATATTTGCAGAGGCAGCAGGCCATATGTCTAGGTAAGATTCTGTAAATAGAAAAACAGAGAATTGGTTTACTGGAAAAGCCTTACTGAGGTACAGAAGAGGCAGGCCAAGGCCACCACAGGGTCACAGAGGACAGAGTTTTTGAGGCATGTTCAGTTGGGTGGGGACTCAATGGCAAATTGCTGCTCTCTGATACTGAAAGTAATCATGGAGGAGGACAGAGGTGTTCAACAGAAGAGCAAGTGTCGTGTGTGTGTGTGTGTGTGTGTGTGTGCGCGCGCGCACGCGCACATGCACCTATAACAAAGGTGACAGGAACAGAACCAGGTGACACTGATGGCAGAATCCCCCTCCTCAGCTTAAGTCTCACTCTGGGTTGGTCATGCACAGGAAGAAGGGCCTGGGCAAGCCTCCCACCTAGGGAGAATTTATTTATGTTTAAGTGGAAGATACTAGAAGTCATCTTAAACCTAAAACCTCCTCCTTTAAGCTGTGTCATGTAGTTCAATGGCATCAAGGACACAACTGACCAAGCCTCATAATGTGCAGTTGAAAGAATAAGGGCTGGGGATGCAGCTCTTTGGTATGGTACTCCTGTATCAGTGCAAGGTCCTGGGCTTGATCTTAGAATTACACACACACACACACACACACACACACACTCGCCTCACAAACATACCACACAACTATACAAGCATACCACATACACACATACCATACGCACACATACACACATACGACACATGCACACACACATATACAACACACAATACACGTACACACACACATAGACCACAGTAAGTAAAATGTAATTGTAAAGAGAGTCCATGAATTGATAACAGTACTCAAAAACAAAAGCTGGGTAATTCTCCAAAAGACACCAGTTAATAAATGTGTCAGTTTAGATCACCAAGTAACAATTGCTTCAGACAAGTTTATCTTTAGGCCCATCCACGTGAAAGATGCTTGGGAGGACACGTGGTACAGCAGCAGTGAAGGCCCATTGAGGAAAACCTTTCCTTCTGGTCAAGAGGATGGGACTCAGATCTGGGACATTAGTGACACCATTCTAGTTGGGCAAGTCAGCCACCCCTTGAAGGGAACACTCCACAAGAAGGGAGACCCAACTTAAGCCATGCTAATGAGGTGAGAATGGTTTTCTCTTAGATGAGACAATCTGTTCTCCTTCCCAGAATTCCTGGCCTCCCCGCGGTTGCTGTGGAGTCACCACGCCCTCCTGAGTCCTTACTCTGAGAGCTGCTATTTTCACTTTCCTTCTCTTCGATCCCATTCTAGATGCTGGCCACAGCCTGATGCGCGTTTTCTAGTCCTTTGGGCCTGTTCCCCCCCCCACCCCCGCATGATGCTCTCTGCTCCCCTTTAACTACGTAGCTGTTGGAGTGGCGTGGTCTCCCCCTTTGTTCCTTTTGTCTGATATTTCCAGGCAGCAGCTGAGCCCACAGCTTGCTTAGTCTGTTTGTTTACTCTAATTGGCTTCAAGGTTCCTTTTGAGTCCATTCCTAACCCTAATTTCCCTGGTAACATGTGGATCTGTAGTGGGGCTTCCCCAAATTCCCATAGATTATTTACCTTATAAGTACCATGTTTAGCCGGGTGGTGGTGGCGCACGCCTTTAATCCCAGCACTCGGGAGGCAGAGGCAGGCGGATCTCTGTGAGTTCGAGGCCAGCCTGGTCTACAAGAGCTAGTTCCAGGACAGGCATCAAAGCTACAAAATAACTTTATCTCAAAAAAAAAAAAAATACCATGTTTAAAACCAACTTAAAGAACTTCAACATACCACCTTTGGGTGATCGGATTTGACACAATAGGCCACCTGAAATTCCCATCAGGAAGGCAGTGCCAGATGCTTGACCTAAACTATTCATCAGGAAACAAAGACAGATTGAGATGCCAATCTATAAAACACACAGACATGAGTAAGAAGCCAGACTTGATGATCACAAGTTCAAAGTAACCTAGGCTACAGGAGGGACCCTGCCTCATAGACAAAACGAAACCAAACCTCAACCAGAACACAGACACCTCATTCAGTCATTCAGTGTGGACTCTGACTTAAAGTAAGCATACATGGTAAAAGGTCATTTGCATATGACTAAATATTATAGAACACCAACTAGTAAAGAGTTAAGATGGCAACAACACAAACAGCACTTGAGATGAGCTAGCAGGAAGGCAAGCTTGGTTTGTTTTTTGTTTTTTTTAATGGTTTTTGGTTTTTCGAGACAGGGTTTCTCTGTGGTTTTGGAGCCTGTCCTGGAACTAGCTCTTGTAGACCAGGCTGGTCTCGAACTCACAGAGATCTGCCTGCCTCTGCCTCCCAAGTGCTGGGATTAAAGGTGTGCGCCATCACCGCCCGGCCAAGCTTCTTTTGTATCCTAGGAACTGCTAGTGTAGTTGAGGATGGCCTTGATTCGGAAGGACAAGTATTCACCACGATGCCGGTTTGTGTCCAAACCCAGGGCATCATGCACACTAGGGTTGATTTTACCCGCTGAGCTATACCCCCAGTCCAGAAGAACACTGTTTAAAGACATCGTTGCTTTCTCGTCCTCTGCTGGTGAGATACGCTAAAGATCATGCTCAGTGAGAGAAGATGGCCAAAAGGCCACTGTGGGATGTCATTTATGCGATGTTCTGGGGGAAAGAAAAGCTATAGGGCTAGAAATAAGATTGGTGTATCACAGAGGCTGGCAGTGGGAAGGGTACAAACATTCAGGAGGGATCCTTAGGGAGGGGACAAATGGTCTGTATCAGTTCTGTAATAGTGATTAGGGAACTAACTATGAAAGCTTCACTAAACTATGCATTTGAATTAATTGCATGAACATTATATCTCAATACCTCAGACTCAAGAAATAAGGCAAATCTCAAAAGAATTTCAAATACAAGAAATTATAAAGAAAACTAGGGCTGACAAGAAGGCTCAGCAGAAAGTCCCCTGTCATGCAAACAACTTTGATCCCTGGAACCCACAGTGTAAGAAGAGAGCCATCTCAGAAAGCTGTCCTCTGCCTTCCATACTCACACTCCTGCCTGCACACACACACGCACACACATCGCACGCACTCACTCGTGCACAAACACATCTGTACACACATATGCATGCATGCATGCACACACACATCTGCACGCACATACACACATGCATGCACACACACAGGCATGTCTGCACACACATGCGTTCACACACATACACATTAACATTTTTAAACCTAAGTAAACTCATCCTAAGAAAGTAACACTTACAGATGCTCCAGCTCCAGGGTCATCATGAGGATGTTCTCAAGCGCTGTCATTGGCACGTGTGTTTTCCCCAGGTCTCTGAAGGAGAGAGATTTCATGAGGAACCATTTTCATCACAAGCGGTCACTTATGCTCTGGCTTTCCTATAAAAGTATCTGGTTTAGGAATTTATTGTTGGGCGTGGAGAGATGGCTCAGAGGTTAAGAGCATGCACTGCTCATGCAGAGGATCTGAATTCATTCTCCAGCACCCACGTTGGGCAGCTCAGAGTCACATAGAACTCCATCTCCAGAGCCGCTGTCACCCTCTTTTGGCCTCTCCCACACATGTGGGCATATTAGCACACACACGCATACAGTTAAACATAACTAAACGTAAAATCTATTGCCATAGAAGATTATTTCATAGAGCTCTTTTCGGGAAAAAAAGGGCAGGCTTAATATTTGCTTAAATCAATAATCCCGGCATAGAACAGAGTCTGTCTCCATCACTGTCTGACTCATTTTGATCCCGGCATAGAACAGAGTCTGTCTCCATCACTGTCTGACTCATTTTGATCCCGGCATAGAACAGAGTCTGTCTCCATCACTGTCTGACTCATTTTGATCCCGGCATAGAACAGACTCTGTCTCCATCACTGTCTGACTCATTTTGATCCCGGCATAGAACAGAGTCTGTCTCCATCACTGTCTGACTCATTTTGATCCCGGCATAGAACAGAGTCTGTCTCCATCACTTCTGACTCATTTTGATCCCGGCATAGAACAGAGTCTGTCTCCATCACTTCTGACTCATTTTGATCCCGGCATAGAACAGACTCTGTCTCCATCACTTCTGACTCATTTTGATCCCGGCATAGAACAGACTCTGTCTCCATCACTGTCTGACTCATTTTGATCCCGGCATAGAACAGACTCTGTCTCCATCACTGTCTGACTCATTTTGATCCCGGCATAGAACAGAGTCTGTCTCCATCACTTCTGACTCATTTTGATCCCGGCATAGAACAGAGTCTGTCTCCATCACTGTCTGACTCATTTTGATCCCGGCATAGAACAGAGTCTGTCTCCATCACTGTCTGACTCATTTTGATCCCGGCATAGAACAGAGTCTGTCTCCATCACTGTCTGACTCATTTTGATCTTGCACACACCCTACTGCAGCTGTCACTCAAGTTTCTTTTCACTTTAATTGCTAAACACCCAATTCCCATTTATTTAAAGTCCTGTCAGTCAGTATATACATCTATATTAAAAACACAGGAAGCTGGGTATTTTAATTTTTGAGACAGGGTCTCTTTGTTAGCCCTGCCTGGCCTGAACTCACTATGTAGACCAGGCTGGCCTCAAATTCTGAGCAACCTGCCAGCTTCTGCCTCCCGAGTGCTGGAACTAAAGGCACACCACCATACAGAGCTCCCTTCTCACTTCTTTTTCTTAAAATATTTACTTATTATTTATACGTATGTGTTCAGGTGCCTGTTGAGGCCAGAAGGACCGAGTTCCAGGTGGTTGTGAGCCACCTGGTATGTGCTGAGAACTGAGCCTGGGGTCTTCTATAAGAGTAGTAAGTCCTCTTAACCACTTAGCCATCTCTCCAAACCCCTTTCCTTCTTAAAAAAAAACTGATTTTTTTAAGTGTGTGTGCATGTGCACAGAAGTCAGAGGTGTCAGATTCCCTGGAGTTGGAGTTACAGGCAATTGTGAACATCCCAGTGTGGTTGCTGGAAATCAAACATAGCTCCTCTTTGTAAAAGTAGTATACACTGGGGCTCTTAAGCCATTAAGAATTTTGCTCTTCAGGAGGATTGGGGTTCCATTTCCACATTAACATGTGGCTCACAATCGTCTGTAACTCCAGTCTTCTGGCGCCCTCTTCTGCCACACGTGGGCACTGCATATACAGGTTGCCTAGACATTCACAAGGAAAAGAGCCATACTTGAAATATTTTTTAATTTAAAAGGTAGGGTGGATCTGGGGGAGAAAGAAAGTGGGGAGGAAAGACTGGGGAAGAGAGCTGGGGTTGGGATGTAATATATAAGAGAAGAATAAAAAAGAAAAATAGTATACACTTATGACTGTGCTTTCTGAGAAGATATTCCTACATTGTTTACATATACATCTCTATGTTCTTCAACACACTTTCCTCCTCAGCTGAATGTCTTGCCCATTGTATCCTTTCTTTACCTTTTTCATGTGTGTGTGTGTGTACATGTGCTACAATGTGACGGAGGAGGGTTATCTGTCTATGTGTTATTCTCATTGGTTAATAAATAAAGAAAACTGCTTGGCCTGATAGGTCAGAAGATAGGTAGGCGGGGAAGACAGAACAGAATGCTGGGAGGAAGAAGGCAGGGAGTCAGACGCCATAGCTCTCCTCTCTGAGATGGACGCCGGTTAGACTCGTCCTGCTCAAAGCCACAGTCAAGTGGCAATACATATTAATAGAAATGGGTTGAATCAATATGTAAGAGCTAGCCAATAAGAGATTAGAGATAATGGGCCAGGCAGTTTTCTTTATTTATTAGCCAATGAAAGTAACACATAGACAGATAACCCTCCTCCATCAACAATGTATTTGTGGAGGTCAGAGGACAAATAACACGAGCTAGTCCTTGAACTCAGGTCCTCAGACTTGCTGGAAACCCTCTATTTGTCAGGCCCTACTCTTATTTCTTTTATTTCATTTTCTTTTAAGAGACAGTGTCTCCCAATGCACACACATGGGTGATCTGTAACTCACAGAGATCTGCCTGTGTCTGCCTTCCAAGTGTTGGAATTAAAAGCAGGCACTGCCTTTCCTGGGCAGTCAATGATTTTTTTAAACATTAGTTAAAACTAAAATTGGGATTTTTTAAAAAATTTTAAGACAAAATGCTCTCCCGATGGAAATAAAGATGAGTTCCTTAGAACTCATCTAAGGACCCATGAGACGGCCACAATACTCACAAATATTTTAATGCTGGCAACTTATAAAGGTATGGATCTTCAACAACTGTCAGAGGGTTCTGGCTGAGGATTCTGAAAATGTGATAGAATTTATGTTACAAACAATGCAGCATCTTGAAACTACCTGAAAAGTTTGTATTAATTTCTTTGGCATGGACATTTATATTTTTAAAAAATCATGATTTTTTTACCTATAACATCCTTTATAGGTATATATTATTATATATATTATTATTGTATAATATACTTAGAATCCATGAATATCCTTCCCTTGGAAACCATCCACGAGTATAGGAAAAAATAAAGTAAAACGGAGGAAAGGGGGGATAAAAAGGAAAAAATGCCAAAGAGCTTTTAGGTTTAAAAAAATCCAAAAAACAAGTAAAAGGGTAATAAAGTCCTTAACCTATAGGAAAGGCTTTTTGCTTTGTTTTGTTTTGGGTATTTTTTTTTCAACACAGGGTTTCTCTGTGCAACAGTCCTGGCTGTCCTGGAACTTGCTCTATAGACCAGGCTGGCCTTGAACTCACAGAGATCTGCCTGCCTCTGTCTCTGCCTCCTGAGTGCTGGGATTAAAGGTGTGCACCACCACTATGCAGCAAGGAAAGTGAGCATTGCATTATAAGAACTGAAAGGAACAGCCTAAGGTTTTCAGACAACCAACCTTAATATATCCAATAACTTTACAGGCTCTATTACAGCTAATTGGACTCCTGTGCCAATGTTAAATTTAAGGCTATTCAAGGAAGCAAATAGTCTCATAGGGCATGCATTCACCTTTTGTGAAGCAAATGTCAAACTTGTGGTCAGGCTTTAGAACAGCTGGTACAGGAGCAACTAGATACTCAGCATATTGAAGAATTAACCAGCCCTTGGAATTCTCCTGTATTTATTGTTAAAAAGAAATCTGGAAAATGGAGAATGGTAACAGATCTAAGAGATGTTAATAAGGTGATCCAGCCAATGGGCTCTCTACAGTCTGACATTCCGTTGCCGTCCCTATCTCCTAAAGGATGGCCTCTTATAGCTATTGATTTAAAAGATAAAAGATTGTTTCTTCACAATGCCTTTAAAGAAGGTATACTTTACAAGACACAGAAAAATTTGCCTACGCATTGTCAACTAATAATTCTCAGCCTGCTAAATGATATCAATGGAAGATTCTCCCACAGAGAATGTTAAATAGCCCCTCCCTCTTCCAATATTTTGTAAGTCAATTTCCTGAATCTATAGTTTATTATTATATGGACAACATTTTACTATCTGATTCAAATTGGATACTTTAGAAAGAATTTTTAAAGAAGTAAATAAAATTTTGCCCTTTTAGGGATTACAGATTGATCCTAAAAAAAATCCAAAGAGGAGACTCTGTTAATTATTTAGGCTACAAAATAGCTTTACAACAACTTAGACCTCAAAAGGTGCAAACTAGGATTGCAGACTCTTAATGAATTCCAAAGATGGCTAGAAGACATTTGCCATCTCTGGCCTACTATTGGGATAGGCCCTGATGTTAATTCAAACAAAACCTTAGATAGTGACAAGGACTAGAATAGTCCCAGGGAATTATCAGCTGAGGGAATTGACTTTTAGTGAAGAGAAATTACAGAAGGAAATTCAGAAGATTCTCATGGATCTGAATCTTAATGCATTCTGGTCATACTACACTCCAAACTTTCCCCTACAGGAATTTTAATACAAAGGGAAGACATTACTTTAGAATGGACCTTTTTTTACTACACAATCTGAGTGAAAAATTAAAAACTGATTTGGAAAAGGTCTCTGAGCTAATTCTAAAAGAAAAATTGAAACTTTGCTGTTGAATGAGTTTTCTGTCCTGCCCAGTTCCTGCAGTCATTAACTCCCAAAGAAATCACACAAAGGTCTACATTAGTTATAAACCAATTGGCCTAGTAGCCCAGACTTTTTATTAACTCTTATACTTATATTAGCCCATTATTCTTGTCCATGTCAGCCACATGGCTCAGTACCTTATTCAATGAGGCAGTCATATCTTACTTCTTCTGTGGCTGGGTCACAACTGCAGACTAGGACTTCCTTCTTCTCAGAATCCTCCTGTTCTCATTGACCTGCCTCTACTTCCTGTCTATATACTTCCTGCCTGGCTAGTGGCCAATCAGTGTTGTTATCAAACTACAATGAACAGGATATAAACCATTGTCGCCCAGCACTCCTACCCATCTGTTTCTTTTTAAAGGAACAAGAATTCTGAATCTAATACCCTTTGCTTAGCTTTTCTCTTGACCATTAGCCATAACAACTTGTAACCAATGTTGTAAACAAATGAAAATTTCCATAGTCCATTTGTTGGGAACGTGGATATAGTTTTCCAGGCTACTTCCTGCTGTTTGGGGACACTGATAATCTTATGGGGACCTAAAGAAAATTTAGAATTATCGCCAAGTCATGACTGGAGTATCCTGTGAGGTTTGATCATCTCAGGCAGCAGTCTTGAATTTGTTTTTGATGAGAACTCAGACATCTGGGCCATCTGTTCCTACCAGATATTTCTCAGGTGGTCTTCCTTGATCAAACCTGATTTTATTTATCTCAGAATAAATCCACAGCCTCTCATTTCCTGTGGAAACAAAAGCAAAACCTCTTCTCCAAAGTAACATACCTTTTGACTTCAATTTTGAAGTAAAGGTATTTTCAAAATATTTATGTTTTATTAATCCAGCAGCATTTATAAACAAATACCTTCTAACAGCTATTGCTCCTTCCTCAGCTGTCAAGCAATTCAAAGACAACATAATAATATATAGTATCCCGACTTTCTGTATATTTTTCATCTTTATGAGGCTTTATTTTAACCTCTATTTCTTTTATTTTTAATTTTTGGCTTTTTGAGACTGGTTCTCTGTGTATCTTTGGATGTCCTGGAACTCCTTCTGTAGATCAGGCTGTCCTTGAACTTACAGAGATACACCTGCCTCTGTCTCCCAAGTGCCACCACACCTTGAACTTGCAGAGATCTGTCTACTTCTGCCTCCCAAGTGTTGGGATTAAAGGTGTATGCCACCACACCCAACTACTAACTTTTTTTCTTTTTTTCTCTCAAGTCTACATATATTTTTAAACACAGTAAAACATTTAGAGGTTTTTTTCGTCTTTGAATCTATCTTTGCAGTATATATCTCTCTTTTTCTGACCACATGAGTCTTTAATTTGCTAAGCTATATGGAGAGGATTGAAGCTGTGGCTTTGATGGCTGGATCCAGACCATTTCTTATTTCTGAGGTTCCAGGCTCATGGTGGAGGTACCAGCTGGAGCCATGTTTATTGCCACAACTCTATGGCATTTCAAGGCCCCTGCCAGCAAGCAAGCTGCAACATTGTGCTCACAAACCACACTCAAACGCTCTGTAGTCGTACCTTCTGCCTGAAAGAGTCAGAGTTTGCAATGGCAGGATGGCCTAGAAGCTGACAGTTTAAAATGGCAGTGCTTTTTTCCTGCTAAGGCTGAAAACCAAAGAGCATGCAGTCAGTTTTTCATCAACACCATTTGAGTGTTTTGTGGCAGGATCTCTTAAAAGAGCTGCAAGGTTTTGCAGCTAAAACTGAGTCAGGAAGCCTCTCTTAAATGAGACACATTTGCCTCTAGCGAGCAGAGCCCACCTGAGAAAGTGCTGCTATCAATAAGCCATGCTTTATTCTTTTCTGTCTAGAATTACTTCCCAAGCTCTCTCAGGCTTTATGTGGATTCAGTTGTCCATGTGGGTGCCATTTGTTGTCAGGGTGCTGCAGCTTGCTTGCTGGCAGGGACCTTAAAATGCCATAGAGTTGTGCCAATAAACATGACTACAGCTGGTACCTCCACCTTGAGGCTGGAATCTCAGAAAGCTAAAGAATGGGCTGGATCCAGCCATCAAAGCCATGACTTTAATCCTTTCCATATTGTTTAACAAATTAAAGACTCACATGGTCAAAAAAAGAGAGATATACAGTAAAAAGAGATTTAAAGATGAAGAAAACCTCTAAATGTTTTTACAGTGTGTTAAAAATGTATGCAGGCTTGGGAGAGAAAAGAAAAAGGTTAAAGTCCTTAAAATAAAAAGAGAGAGTAGCTGGAATGGTGGAACATACCTTTAATCCCAACACTTGGAAGACAGAGGCAAGCAGACCTCTGTGAGTTCAAGGCATGGTGGCACACACCTTTAATCTCAATGCTTGGGAGGCAGAGTCAGACAGATCTCTGTGAGTTCAAGGTGTGGTGGCACATACCTTTAATCTCAATGCTTTGGAGGCAGAGGCAGACAGATCTCTGTGAACTCAAGGTGTGGTGGCACACACATTTAATCCCAGTACTTGGGAGGCAGAGGAAGGCAGATTTCTGTGAGTTTAATGACAGCCTGGTCTATAGAGGGAATTCCAGAACAGCAAAAGATACATAGAGAACCTGTCTCAAAAAGCCAAAAATTAAAAATAAAAGAAATAGAGGTTAAAATAAAGCCACATAAAGATGAAATATACACAGAGAGTATGGATACTGTATGTTATTATGTTCTCTTTGAATTGTTTGAGCTGCTAGAAGGTATTGTTTATAAATGCTGCTGGATTAATAAAACATAAATATTTTGAAAATACCTTTACTTCAAAATTGAAGTCAAAAGGTATGTTACTTTGGAGAAGAGGTTTTGCTTTTGTTTCCATAGAAAATGAGAGGCTATGAATTCATTCTGAGATAAGAAAAATCAGGTTTGATCAAGGAAGACCACCCGAGAAATATCTGGTAGGAACAGATGGCCCAGATGTCTGAGTTCTCATCAAAATTCAAGACTGCTGCCTGAGATGATCAAACCTCACAGGATACTCCAGTCATGACTTGGTGATAATTCTAAATTTTCTTTAGGTCCCCATAAGTTTATCAGTGCCCCCAAACAGCAGGAAGTACCTGGAAAACTACATCCACATTCCCAACAAATGGACTATGGATATTTTCATTTGTTCACAATGTTGGTTACAAGTTGTTATGGCTAATGGTCAGGAGACAAGCTAAACAAAGGGTATTAGATTCAGAGTTCTTGGTTCCTTTAAAAAACAGATGGGTG